CGAGCGCCTGGCGCGGCTGCTTCAGGTGGTTGAGTCGTCGGCCAACCCGCCCGAGCAGCTGAAGGCGCGCATCGCAGCTCTCATCCCCGAAAGCGCCCCAGGTTTCGGCCCGTCGAAATTTGTTCCAGCCCGCGCCGCCTCCGGGGGCGGCGTCGGCGGCCTTTCGCGGAGGCTTGGGAGCTCGAGCACGACGGGCCCCGCTGGGTCGCGGGGAGGCACCGCTCGGCGACGGGAGCCAGCACGCCCTGAAAGCTTCATTCGGGGGGAGTGTTTTGGGACATGTTGGAGTGCTACGAGCAGGTCCCCCTCCTGCTGCTGGAGGACAGGGGCCACCGCCTTAACTTTTCCCCGGTTTTGCTCGGGGGTTGTCTCGCCGCTTACCGCTCAGCCAGACGCGTGGTCTTGTGCGGAGTGGCGTCCACTGCGCTCTACGCTCAAGTCGGGGCGATCGCGGGGTGCTCGATGGCGGCGACGACGATAATCAAGGCGTTCTGATTGGGAGCTTTCGAATATGTGCCGTTGCCGCTGTGCGCTGCGCTCGATGTCTATATAGATGACACAAAGTCAGATGCGAGGGCAAGGAAGAGCACGTTATGGCCGCTGGGGCCATCCACGTCGCCATCGCTCGGATGATGCAAGCGCCGGCCCCCATGGAAAAAACATAGCTTTTGTGTCTTCGTCTCGGTTTACCCGGGCCCGTCTGCAGGATACTCTCGGGGCTGATTGGGCCCAGACGCGACGCCGCGGTCAACCTCGGCATCGATGTCACTGGAGGTCTGCCGCGACGGGTTCGCGACCGCAGCGCAAAGGCGAAGAGTGGTCAGCTGCTGCCCGCAGGTCCAGGCGCGTAGCGCACCAGCGCCTTGTAATCGGCCGTCGGGCAGCGTTTTCGTTTCGGGACCTCTCGCTGGCCTGCCGCACGGCTCGGAGGCGCATGGGATGCCCGACGGGGAATTGGCCCGCGCGCGCCGCATGTTCGCCTGTGTCATCCCGCCTGCCAGTGGAGATCGGAGCGCATCCTTTCTTACGCGCCTTGAGAATGATCCAGCATGGCATGGTAGTGTCTCCTATTCTTCGATATTGTCATGAGCTTTGGCTTCTTCAAACAAAGGTGACGTATTGGACTCTATCTTGGGATTAGATCCGTAAGGTTCGGTCTTCCGCTTGAGCTACTCCTCCGAGATCCTGGCGGTCTGTGAAGGGCCCATTTGGTGCGATGTATCTGTCGCTGCAAAGGATAAACTGGTCCATGTCTGATCCCTTTGCGTAAACCTATGCAGACGGCACATCCACCCATATTATTGCCTCCTCTCCTGCTCTTTTAAAGAAGATCATCCACTTCAAAAGAAGATCCTTCAGTCTTCGGGCCTGAAATGGCTCGAGGTCGAAGTGGGCCTCAAATATGGCGATGGAAACCGAGTTTGTGTTGACGTTGTCTCGAGAGCGTTGTCCTTTGGAAAATTCACCCCGAAGCAAACGGGACCATTAATGCGGTAGCGCGTAGAGTGGTAGGGCCAATGTCTAAGTGTGCCGCTAAGGGATAGCATATTACAGACCGTTGCCCGCTGTACGGTCAAGTAGGAGACGCGATAATTCATCGGTTGTGGTTCTGCGAGATTTGTGAGGAGGAGCGGCTGAGCACTGTCGGCCAGACCCTCCTTGAGCGTGTTCGGTCGCGTATCGCCGAGCCGTCGACAGGATGGGGATTCCTTTGCGAGGCCGGCCTGTTTGTGCACCCGTCCAGGGACGTTCCTCAGCCGTCAAACCTTGACGAGGACACGGGGGCCATCCAAGTCTGACCCTGGGGTTCGAGAGCTAAAGGGTAGGCTGCATGGCGACGGTAGTTGCTTCCGCTTTGTATCAGGAGGGGAAAAAACACAGACACACTTAATCGTTCACCCCCAGGAAAATAGTGGAGAATCTGGGAAGTGGGGAGGAAGACAGAACTACAGAAAGTATGGGGAACTATAGGGAATCCTTTTATTTGTGTGCATTTACTTGTGTGTCCCAGGGCCCCTTCATTGTAGTCAAAGTTCTGTCTAGATCGGGCTGGGGGGGGGGTCTGGCTCAGCGCTGATGGAGGTGTCCCAGCTCGACGCGTTGGGCCGCTTTGCAGTTCCCCCCCGCAACGTCGCGTCGCCGCAGAGTTCGCGGTTCCCCTCGCTGCTGCGTCGCTTCTTGCAGGGGATTCGGCTTTTCCCATTCCGACTGCCTAGCGGTAGTGAATCATTTTTCGAAACCTCCAAGGGGCCGCTTGCACCCATCGCCGCCTTGCAGTGGGCTGGCGATGCAGGCCGATGGTTTTGGCAAGGTCTGTTTCGGTCCGCTGTTAAGGTTCGAGCCCACCAGCAGGAGGATGACAGCTTGTCGGCGGAGGACAGACTGCACGTTATATGTAACAATGCCGCTGACCAAGCGGCAAAGGAAGGAGCCGCTTTGCACCCTCGCCTCTCGAACGAAGTGGCTGAAAGGAGTAAATGTTTGTGTGCCGTTTCGAAGGCGGTTACCAGGTTACCCCCCTTTCCCGCGTGTCAAATATCCGAGGTCATCTCACGAGTTGGAGCTTGTTGGACAAGCGCCCCGCTCGTACTGGCAGTGTTTTCGTTGTCTTTGATGCGGTCGGTCGTCGTCGAAGCCTTCGCCTGGTTTCTGCGGTTTGCTGCCCCGCGTTGAGCCTCAATCGCTCCGCGATCTGGGTCACAGGTGCGTCGTAGTCGACTGCAGTGATTCTTCCTTTGTTTGCATCTGCCACCTGTGTGGCTCCTTTATCACTGGTGGCAGTGTCGCTAAAGTCGCGACCGAATGCATTCCTCTCGCTCAGCCTCAGATTTGCGAGAACTGGGGGTTGTTGGGCAAGGGATTCCATCCCAAGAGATCAAGGATCACAGTCGACGTCCCATCTTTTTGCCCCCTGTAGAGGGGGTCGGTGGCAGTGGATGTCAAAAAATCCTCCTCCTTCTCCTCGTAAGTTGGTGCCCCAGCTCTCGCAGGCGCGCGCGCGCTGCTCTTCCATTGATGTGGTGTGCTGGTCATAGAGGGTCCCAGCGTCGTCGAATGTGGCGGCTTTGTGATGCGGTGGCGGCGTGTCGGCATGAGCCACCGAACGATGCGTCGCGAACGAGGGTGCCTTGGAAGCCCTTCCGCTTTGGGGGGGAACTTTCCGAGAAGTCGTCTTGGAAGCCTCAACGCACCCTTGGACAGGACGCCAGCCTTGCGGCGCCCCTCTCCCAACAACTACGTGGATAGACAAGCATGCATGACACTGCTGATGTTGCCGTCATGCCTGCTCCCCCCGCTCCCCGCGCAGAGCGAGACGTCATTTTTCCCCAACCAGTGCTTGCACTGAAGGGGTCCCAGCGGAAATTGAACGATTCGGCGAAAACTTCTCGCCGGTTTTGCCGGCTGGGTTCCCAGTTTCCTGGTTCCGGGCTCCTGGGTTCTCGCCCTGCAAGACGCACCTGGAAATAATAGATGCGTTTAGATGCGATCGCGCCCTGGCGCAGGCGAGAAGCCCATCGTACCTATTTTTCTGCAGCGACGACAAGATATATACTATGTTTAGATGCGCGCCCCCGGCCTGCGCGGGAGCGCCGCCGTACTTAAAAATTTGGGACCGTATCCTTTTTTTTTATGCAATAATACATATATATATGTCTTTGTTATTATGTTTCAAAGAATGGCAGTGCCGCGCCGTATCTATTCGTATCTAATTTTTGTGAGAACGAATGCAGCTGGCTGTGCTCCCGGCACGAACAAGATCCATGATATTGGTCGAAGCAATGAACAGCGGGATGAGGATAGTGGGATGCCGTAGCGATGAGGAGGCGAGCGACGACGACAAAAACGACGAGGAGTATGAAGGATCTCAACGTCGAAACGAAATGTAGGAGAGAACTGGGTAGGAACAGGGAACCGTAGGATGGGGAGAGCAAAGAGAAGGAGGAGGAGGAGGAAGAAGAAGTCGAGGAGGAGGGGGAGGAGGAGGAGAGGTTTGGCGTCGTTGGCTTGGTAGGCATGGCATAGTATGGCATGATACGGTAAGTATGGTATGGTATAGTAGGTTTGGTATGGTATGGTCGGTATGGTATGGTATGGTAGGTGTGGTGTGGTAGGTATGGTATGGTAGGTCGGCGTGGTATTGGTATGGTATGCATTGGTATGGTATAGTAGGGAGGCGGGAGAAGGAGAAGGAGGAGAAGGAACTGGAGACGGTGTTCTAGGACAACAAAAACCCCACTCAGGATGCGGGGAACAAGAACTACACTCAGTATGTGGCGAAAGAAGACAAGATGAGCACCGAGGAGGGCGGATAAGGAGGATCCAAGAGGAGCGAGGAGCGAGAATGATCGATCGTGGGCGTGCGCAGGAGACATGGCGCCGTATCTGTTCGTATCTATTTGTTGGGATACATGTGTTCCAGCGATGGGCACCATATTGAACCATATTTAAAGATATCTGAGCATATCCATTCGTACCTAAAAATGGCTCTGTATCTAAAATTTGGAAGAAAACGTACCTCCCGTATCTCAAACATAAGAAGTCGTATCTACACATATCTATGTTTGAAGCACACACGCACCTATATGTATATATATATATATGTATATATATAGTCGTATCTACTTTTCTGACGAAAATGCTGTAACACATATGATTCAGGGAGGAATGTTAGATACCATGCGGTCCTTCCGAATGCAGCTGCCGCTGGGGAAATGAGCAACCAAAATAGATGTTTAGATGTGTCTTCCAGGGTGGTCATTGGTTTCGGCCGATTTCGGTGGGTTCCGGATTCCGGGGTTCCCGGTCGATCTCTTGTATCGAAAGCCATCCACTGATTGGGGTCTTCTTCTGGTGTAATTGCATCCAGCTGCGAACGTTCAGGCCCGCTCTCGCGATTCGAGCACCATGCTGCTACGGCCATGGCGCGGCCCCGGTCTGCAAGGTGTCTTGGGGAGCGCTGCACCGCGACGGTGCAGGAAACAGCTTGGGGCCCCGCCCAGGATTCCGGGCTGCACCCCCAGCGTGTCGGACCTGGACTTGTCGCAGAACCACGTGACGCCCGAGCAGCTGGAGAGGGTCTGCCGCGCAGGGCCGCCGCACGCCACCGCAGTGCCTGGCCAGGGCCATCCTTGGCCCCGAGGTGGCGTGCGGACCCCCGCAGGCATCGGCCGGGCGGGCGTGCGCGCCTTTCGGGAGGCTCAAACACGCAGACGCCATGAGTCGTCGATTCCCAGGAAGATATGGGGAAACCTTGGAAGTAGGGGGGAAGACGAAAGCATTGAAGACCATGGAAGACCTTGGGAATCCTGGGATTTGTGCCTAGTTATTTCTTTGTGTGTCCCGGGCCCCGCTCAACCATGGCAGGTTCCAGGGCGGTTCTGGCTAGGCACCGTGGTGGTGTGCAATCGGCGTCGCCCCAAGATGGTAATACTGTGTGCGCGCCGCCCGCCCCCAGGGGCGAGGCGCACACCGAGGAGTCGTGTGCGCTCCGTGGCGGGAGGTCTGTTCGTGCGCGACGTGGGCCGCTCGGGGCCCGGGCCCATGCCGCGGCTGTGCTGAAGCAGGTTGCAGGCAATGTTGAGTTCTGGCAGTGTTCACACGACGGTAGGCGCAGGTCCCGGGAAGGCAGTGCGGGCCATACCGCGCGGGAATCGATGCACTACAAGATGGTGGTACCACATTTCGTGTCGGACGCACGCCTCGGCATATAGTATTTGTCTGTTCGTTGGCGTCCCATGCAAGTGCCTTCTGCGCAGGTGCTGTCCATAGTGACCACCCACAACGTCTTCGTGCGGCGCTTCCGCCTGTTCGGGATCCCCACGTTCACCGACGATGCGATGCGGATCCTAGGCGACCACCTGAGAGGGCTGACGAAGGAGCAGGCGCCGACCGAGATGCACCTGTCCGACTGCGCCATCACCAGCGAGGGGTTCTATCACCTCATGAGCGCCATCGAGGAGTCCGACCTGTACCCAGGTGCCCCTCCTGGTGGCAAGCCGCGGCCCCTGTACCTGCGGCTGGAGAACAACTACATCTCCGAGGAGTCCCTGAAGGAGAAGCAGGAGGCAGGCGTGGTGCGCGCGTTCAAGAAGTCGATGGGCCAACGGGAGGTCACCACGTCCAGCCCGGTGAGCCCAGGGGCGCGAACCAGACACCATCGCCCTTGGCTGGGCCCCTCCGTCCTGAAAGCTATGTAGGCACATTATGGGACAGACGGGGAGCGGAGGCGGAGGAAGAGGAGGGAATAAGAGGCAGAGGAGGAGAAGGGAGGAGAAGGGAGGAGGAGGAGGAGGAGGAGTTGGAGGAGGAGGAGGAGGAGGAGGAGGAGGAGAAAGGAGGAGGAGGAGGAGGAGGAGGAGGAGGAGGAGGAGGAGGAGGAGGATGGGGAGGAGGAGGAGGTGAGGAGGAACAGGGGGGGGCGAGGACTGTTGACCCTCAGCTGCTGGCAGCCCATTGACCATCCTGTCGGGCGGAGGCGCAGGGAGGGTGGGAGGGAAGGAGGGTTATGATCACCACGAGCGCGTCCACCACCACCACCACCATCTCCCCCGCCACCACGACGACGCGACGACCACCCCCCCCGTCCATCCCCCGCCTCCCTTCCTTCCTTCCTTCCTTCCTTCCTTCCTTTCCCTTCTGCCTGGCCGCCCCTGCCTGAAGCGTTCGCCTCATCTCCTCCTTTGCTCCTCCTCCTCCTCCTCCTCCTCCTCCTCCTCCTCCTCCTCCTCCTCCTTTGCTCCTCCTCTTCCTCCTTTGCTCCTCCTCCTCCTCCTCCTCCTTCGCCGCACTCCCGGGGTGGCACAGGCTTAGGCCAGGCCTGGGCCCGAAGACGCTCCGAGGCTGGCGCGCGGCCAGCCTGGTGTCAGCCCACGGCGCAAGCCCGACCGAGGCCCGTGGTTGGAGGCGAGCTGTCCGGCGGAGGCCAGGCCTCAACCGGGAGGCTGGGCGCCTGGCCTCAACGACTAGACGTAAGAGTGACCTTTCGCCAGAGTGACCTTTGGTGCGGGCACACCAGGGTCACTCTTACGTGTAGCCGACCTCAACAGGAGGCGGGCTTTGGGTCCATGTCCAGTTCTGGCCCGTCTTTTGGACAGCCGCCCCGGGCCGCCCTCTGTGAGCTGGCGGGGGCGGCATCCCTGCGGCCGGCGAGGGGATGTGGGGCAGGAGGGGGGAAGAGGAGTAAGGGGGAAAAGGAGGGGGAAGGAACCGGGCGGAGGGAACCGGGAAGAGGAGAGTGGGGTGAATGGATGGAGAGAAGAGGAGGGTTGCGGGAAGAGGCAAGTTACAGAAGGCTGGGATGGAATAGTGTGGGAGGTAGGTAGGGAGAGGAAGTGGAAGAAGTAGGGACAGGAAGGAGATCGCTTACGTTCCCCAAACGCTGCTTGCACTTATGGGGTTCTCTTTTGTGGAATGAGGAACTGGCCCTGAAGGTCGGTCTGGCGGCTATGTTGTCGCCGTCGCCGCCCCGTCGCCGCCTCGTCGCCGCCCTTCGCCGCCTCGTCGCCGCCCATCGCCGCCGCCTCGTCGCAGCCCGTCGTCTGGGCCTGTGCGTCGGTCTGGCGGGCATGTTGTCGCCGTCGCCGCCCCGTCGCCGCCGTCGCCCTTCTCCGCCGCCGGCAGATTGCAGCTCCCGTCATGCCTCGCACTGGAAAACGACGTCCCGACGCTCACCGAGCGCGTTCCGCTACTCGCGAAGCGCCTACTCTCAGACGTCCGAAAAACACATGTCCGCTTTGATGGAATTTGTCGCAGATCCCCCCGCGGGGGATGCAGGCCATTTGCGAGTAGTTGCTTTGCGAGCAGTGGAACCCAGAGATCCGATGTCGTGATTTTTTCAATGCGGGGTCCCCGGAAGTCTCGGCCTATGCAACAGGGTCGGTTTTTCATCCTGAGTCGTTTTTTCTGACGGGCCCGGCGAGGGCCGCCAGAGGCCGAAAATCGAGAACAACCTCCGTCCTGAGTTGTTCAATACGTTGGAGGTCCGGGAACGCGCTCGTCTGGCAACGACGTCCCGACGCACATTGGGCGAATAGGAGGAGGAGGCGGAGGAGGCGGAGGAGGAGGAGGAGGAGGAGGAGGAGGAGGAGGAGGAGGGAGGAGGAGGAGGAGGAGGAGGAGGGAGGAGGAGGAGGAGGGAGGAGGAGGAGGAGGGAGGAGGAGGAGGAGGAGGAGGAGGGAGGAGGAGGAGGAGGAGGAGGAGGGAGGAGGAGGAGGAGGAGGGGCGACGCCTGGGCCTCCAGCTTGGGCTGCGCCTCCGAGCCCTCCCTGCTGCGCGCCGCCGGCCCCTCTCCACCGCCGGGCCCACGTCCGCCTCTCGGCGAGGGCAGGGTCGGGCAGCCGCGAAGCGTCCCGGCGCGCCGCTTGGCCCTGCCGAGATCAGGAGGAGAAAAAACACAGACACAATTCATCGTCGATTTCCCAGAAAATATAGGAAAATATGGGCAGTGGGGGGGGAGACAGAAACAGAGAGAGCAGAGAGAAGGCAGAGAGAGCAGAAACCAGGAGGAGAAAAAACAGAGCAGAGAGAGCAGAGCAGAGCGGCCCGTGGGGGAGGCGGGAAGTTCCGCCTGCCCCGGCAAGGCGCCGGGCCGACATCACCGGCGAATCGTGGAAAATATCGCAACGTGTGAAGATGCGGCAAATGCCACGGCGCGGCGTGACAGACATCGAGCGTCAGGCGCCCGGCTGAGTGTGTGTATTAAAACAATTACACGTCTGTCCACCTCTTCCGCGGGCGGCCTACGCTTCTCCTTGCGTTCACTCGAAACCAAGGTACCCAATTAACAAGTCTCGCACTCCATCTGCGGTCGGTGGGCGAGGAGAAAAAACACACAGACACAATTAGTCATCGATTTCCCAGAAAATATAGGAAAATATGGGCAGTGGGGGGGAAGACAGAAACCCCGAGAATATAGGAAAATGTGGTGAATCCTTTTATTTGTGTGTATTTATTTGTGTATCACAGGGCCCCTTCACAAGAACACTGTTCTAAGAGCCGCTTGTGGTTCCCACGAAACGTTCTTGGAGCATTTCTGGCTGGGACTGTCTTGTTGCAGCACCTCGGGAATCTATTCTAAGCACATCGTGCTTGTTGTTTTAAATTTTCTGGGTTCTGGGAACATTTCGTGGTAGGACTATAAAAATGCCGGGACGGTCAATCCCTGCTCACGAAGACAGGTGTCCCCAGCATGCCGCGAACAGCTGTCTCCGGCGTGCCGCGGGGCACCTGCGCCTGGCGCAGCCGGCATGCTGCCCTTGCTCGGCAGCTGGCGCGCGGCATCCGTCACCTGCCTGCGCCCGGCCGGCGAAACGGCGCGCGTGTTTCGGGCCGGACGAAAGGGGGGGATAAGGGAATGGGGGGGGTACGAGATCTGCTACACGCAGCTGGTTTCGGCCCCGCCGCCAGGCCCATTCCTCGATACATGAGCGCTCCCGGCGCCAGGCGGCGCCAGGAGAACCAGCTACGTCAGCCGATTCTCTCTATCCTGCCCGTTGCTATCATACCCCTTCGTCCCACCAGAATGTCTGCGTGTGTGTGTGTGTGTGTGTGTGTGTGCGTGCGTGCGTGCGTGCGTGCGTGCGCGTGCGTGTGCGTGTGCGTGTGCGTGTGCGTGTGCGTGTGCGTGTGCGTGTGCGTGTGCGTGTGCGTGTGCGTGTGCGTGTGCGTGTGCGTGTGCGTGTGCGTGTGCGTGTGCGTGTGCGTGGTGTGTGCGTGTGTGTGTGTAAGTGTGTAAGTGTGTAAGTGTGTACGTGCGTAAGTGTGTAAGTGTGTAAGTGTGCAAGTGTGCAAGTGTGTAAGTGTGTAAGTGTGTAAGTGTGTAAGTGTGTGGGCGTGTGTGTGTGTGTGTGTCTGTGTGTGTTTGCGTGTGTGTGTGTGTGTTTGCGTGTGTGTGTGTGTGTATGTGTATGTGTGTGTGTGCGTGCGTGCGTGCGTGCGTGTGTGTGCGTGTGCCTCGCCAGGCCCCCGTGGATGACCCTCCATCTCACGTAATTCGAGGGTCTTTTTGTGGGCCCCCAGCACGGGTGAAATATGTCCAGCCGCGGGTGGAGGCAACTGACCATACGTACATATAACGAATACAAGCCTACATCATGCATATGCATGTATGTATGTACGTGCAAATATCAAGCCGCTTGAAGCGAAAAACTCTTATGCCCCAGCGGTGTACTCCGGATCCCTTAATAATCGTCCCCCGGGTCCGGTTTATTAAGGCGCCTTTTGGGGAAGCAGCGGGGTCCGGTTTGTTACGGCGTTTCTTGAAGCCGACGTTCAGGGGGGGTTCGGTTTATTAGGGCGCCTTTTGGGTACTAGCCCGCGGAGTACTAACCATCATCATCATCAGCATCATCATCGTCGTCATCGTCATCGTCATCGTCATCATCATGTTCATCATCACCAACATCATCATCAGCATCATCATCATTTTCATCATCATCGTCAACAACAACATTTTCAACATCATCGTCATCATCCTGATCATCGTCGTTATCACCATCACGATATGATGCGGCGGTGGCAATGATGGTACTTCTGATGGCGATGACGACTATCGTTGTCGTTGTCGTCGTCGTCGTTGTCGTTGTCGTTGTCGTCGTCGTCGTCGTCGTAGTCGTAGTCGTAGTTCTCGTATCGTCGTCGTCGTCGTCGTCGCGCTCGCAATTTTGCTGGGGGGGGTCCGGAATATTAAGGCGCCCTCTGCGGGAGGGGGTCCGGAAAATTACGTCGCCAAGGAAGGGGGGGTCCGGTTTTTTAGGGGGGGTCGATTATTAAGGGATCCAGAGTACTGTGCTTTGGGGCAGAAGAACTGATATGGCAGCTGACGCGGCTCTCTACTTGTTTCTGATTCTCTGGGCTCTCTACTTGTTTCTCCTTCTTTCTCTTCCATGGTCCCAAGAGGGCCCCCCTAGGTTACAAAGAGGGCCCCAAGAGGCGCCCAAGGGGCTCCAAGAAAACCCCCAAGAGGCTTCCAAAGACTCCCAAGCGGTCTCAAAGCGGCCCTCAAACGGCCTCAAGAGCCTCTCCCCCCCAGAGGGAGCCAAGACGCTCCAAGAGGCTCCCGGGACTGCCAAGAGACGCCCATGCCTCAAGAGGCTTCCAATAAGCGACCAAGAAGTGCCCCAGAGGGCC